TTTCGGTTGCAATATAAAAGTTTTACGTCAAAAACTTGCATCAAAACAAACTACTAACGTCCATTTATTCAAAAGATAAGACAAAATAAAAAGGAGAATTCTAAATTTTAAATTAAACCTGAATTTAGTTTACGAAAAAACATCTACCAAACGTTTTTATATTATTATAATTTAACAACAGAAAGTGTGCAAATTATATTTAATTTCAATTTCTGACAAAAATTATTACTTTATACTTACATACAAAAACAGGAACCTTAATATCCTTTTGTGGGTCAATATGTACAAGACGTTCCCGGTTTCGGGTTCGATAACCGGCAACCTGTGAATGCGATTGTGAATCAGAGTCCGTATCGCTTCAAAAAGAGACGCGTCAGGTCCAATGTGCACCAACGTCCTTTGGTCTTTCAGAACCTGTCTCCAAGAATCTAACTTTTGTTCCTCCAATTCGTACATTTCCACGTTTGGTGAGGTGTAATACATTCGAAGGATTTTGATAAAGTCGGTGATGGTCAACATACCAACAAATTCCTGTTGGCAGCTGTCCCATAAAGGAGCAGCCCTCACCCCTGAAAAAAATCACTGATTAGTTTTAAATAATTACCACGAAAACAAAAAATGACGTGCAAAATATTTCCCTTAACTCAGGCTAAACTGCGAAAGAATTTTTTTAAATTTAATTTAGAATAACTAATTGGTGTTATCCTTTCTATTTTATAATTGTTGAGCAATAAACTTAAAACAAATTAATAAGAATAAACAATGATTTTTTTATTGTTAACTCACCATTATATACTAGAGCAAAGAATGCTTTCTTAACAAGGAGTTGTGTGTCGAAAACAACCAATTTTGCGGACGTTGGAATGAGATCGTAACATTTGTGGAATTTAAAGAACTTTACAAATATCTGAGACTCATCCTCTTCTGAAAATAAAAAAAGCATTAGGTAAATATTAAATTACAATATTATAACATTTTACAAAATTTATTGATTTGAAAAAGATTAGTATGGTTCGATTTGCAGTTGATATAGCAGTATTAGCATCCGCGAACGGTTAATTCAGAAATTCGAAACAGGTTATTAAAGGGGTGTTTGAAGCGCGGCATTGTACGGGTGCGAAATATGGACAGTGGGCGCGGCGGAAAAGAAAAGGTTAGAAGCGTTCGAAATGTGGTGTTATAGGCGGACGATGAGGATAACGTGGGTAGAAAATGTTAGAAATGAAGAGGTATTAGAAAGAATAAGAGAACAGAGGACTCCATGGAAGTCAATAAAAATAGGCGAGATAGGTTGGTAGGACACCTTCTCAGGCATGAAGGTCTAGTCAGAGGCATATTAGAGGCAGAAACAGGAATTAAGAGGGGTAGAGGTAGACCTAGGTTAGATTACTGTTCGCAAATAGTTAAGGATGTGGTTTTTCTAGTTTTAGGGAAATGCGAAGTTTAGGTCAGAATAGGAAAGAGTGGAGGTACGTGTCCAACCAGTCTTAGGACTGACGACCATATGTTGATGATGACGGCGCGCAGCGCTGTACGGATGCGAATTACAGGCGAATGACGAGGATACCGTGGATAGAGAAGGATAGAAATGAAGAGCTATTATAAAGAATAGGAAAACAGATGACTTTATGGAAGTTAATAGGAAGTAGGAAATAGTCGAGATAGGTTGATAGGACACCTTCTCAGGCATGAAGGTCTAGTCAGAGGCATATTACAGGCAGAAACAGAAATTAAGAGGGGTAGAGGTAGACCTAGGTTAGATTACTGTTCGCAAATAGTTAAGGATGTGGGTTGTTCTAGTTTTAGGGAAATGTGAAGATTAGCTCAGTCTTAGGACTGACGACCTTATGATGTTGATGAAAAACATAGGCAATGAAATATTCGTAAAAACAGTTGAAGCTGGACTATTTTTTATTACACAGACATTCTCATAACGTTAAGATTTCTTTATCCTATCCTTCTGTTTTCATATCATGCAATTTTAACACGACTGATAGGGAGAGAAAATACTCTTAAGCTTTTTCCTCCCGTTAATTCACTCTGAAAGGCAGTAAAAAAAAAAACGAGGTGAACGTTATAAAAAGGGATAACTTAATTTAATACTTTATTCTAGAAAACAAAAACAATTATGTAGGGGTTTCTACAGAAAGACGAAAGGAAAAAACAAATTCCAAAAAAATTAGGAAAATATCCCGAGAGAGAAATATTTCTATTCTAAATATTAAAAGGTAATAAGCTTTTCTTTTGTATTATTTATGTACATTTTTTAACAATCAAATTTACAACATAACGCAATAAGATAATTGATTAGCTACATATTTCCTTTGTAACCATTTTTTTAACTTCTAATTTTTTACATTTACACGTATGTAAAACAAAAGGGTATCGGGCATTTTGATCCCCCGACAAAATATCTCCAGATAAAATATCGCCATACAAAATATCCCCGGACAAAATAACCCTAAGACAAAATATGAATCATTTTCATAATATTTTATTCAGTAAATTTACGTATTTTTTCTTAATTTGTTGCAGTTCTTTTATTTTGTTATTGAAATATTTCGTTGTCGGAGTTTTTTGTTTTGGGAATATTTTATCCGAAGATATTCTGTAGAGGAATTAAATATCATGGAACCAATAAAAGTAACCAATGTAACAAAAGAATTAAACAAAGGTGGGTATGTCTCAATACCGTCGATCATTTGTAAAACTTATTACAATATCAGGTTCCGTTGGTTTATTCACGTTTTTTTGGAAAATGTTTTCAAGATATTCGAAAAGAAAAATACTGACAATGAGTTTCAAATCTGAATCATGACTATCAAGTCCGAATTGCTTCCTTTTTTTTTTTGGAAAGTCGTCTTTAGAACGTTTCGACAACTCCTGTGATTGGCATTATCAGGGAATACTGCGGTTGTGTTGAAAATCAGAATGAAAGCGTGACAGCAGTTGACCAAACGTCGGATAAAGGAACTCCATATGCAGACTCGCCAAAACAAGAGAACTAATTCTGAACCATGACTATCAAGTCCGAATATGAAATTCCCTTCATCATCATCATAAGGTCGTCAGTCCTAAGACTGGTTGGACACGTACCTCTACTCTTTCCTATCCCGAGCTAAACATCGCATTTCCTTAAAACTAGAACAACCCACATCCTTAAAGTAATCTAACCGAGGTCTACATCTACCCCTCCTAACTCCTGTTTCATATTAATTAAGAATAATTGCAAATTATTAATTCTACACTAAAGAAATTTGCGACTATTGACTGATTTTATCTTAATTTCCAATTGCTCAATCACTTGATATACACTTTTCAACTTTAAACTATGATTAGATTTAACTATGACTAATTGTAAAGAATTATTTTTATAAAGTCAACTGATTTTGAGGTTCCATACCTGAAGAACCTTAAATTTCGAAAAGAAGGTTCCAATTTTCAGAAGAATTAATTTAGAATTGATACATATGCCTACTTAGTTTCTTGATCTATCCGCGCTCAAATAACAAGACAGTTCAATTTTAAACAAGTAGAAATGCCGCTAGTGTATGATACATTGAGTCATATCAATTTCAAGCTTTCTTGGCTCTGAAACGTTCTTAATTATACGGACGACAGACAACAATGATCGAGAACACGGTTACTCGAGCCAATCGATGATGATTTTATACGCAACTATTATCTGCGAACAAGATGTCGATTATGAAATGCAGGTGCATTCGAGGAATTCTTGGCCTCAGTAATAATCCGCGACCTTAAAACGGGACAGACAATTGCATTTTATTTTGTGACGACGAACAGAAATAGACCACGTCACCCAGCAACTTACAGCAAACTAGCATCACAAACTTCCATAGTTCTGCCAACTTCATGTTTTTTTCTTCTTCAGAACATGATTTGTGTTCGGCATTTTAGAAGCGCAATGCGTACAGCATATTTTTAACATGAAAATAGTGCGATTATTTTAGAGAAATTACAGAGGTAATATAGGTCAGATGAAGGAGCAGTAATGTAACAAGACCGTTTATGGTTTGCAGATTATGTGAATTCGAAAAAAGGGAAGCTGTCCCATTCCACTTGTTATGATCTAAAGATGCAATAAGTTTACAAATTGACGACTTAAAAATGTCCATGTATGAAAGAAGAGGTGAGAAACTAGAGCAAGGGTCGGAAAAAGAATTTTAGGTGGGGTCCGGAAAATTTGAAAATTTTTACCGAGGTCAATACCGAGAAACAACATATTCCGTACCAATTTTTTATTTTAATTTTCACTCATATAAATTCGATTAAAATAGGGTTCAGAAGTTGTCATATTGACCGGCCAGCTTGTTCTTATGATAGCGTTCAAAGCTCAAACGAACTTTAATGTCTACAGAAAAATATTTTTAAAATAATTTATTTGAATAGTTTATACTTCCAAAACGTTTTTGGCGGTCCAGTTTTTGATCTTTCGCGGTCCGGACCTGGACTACGGTTCACCAGTTGTCAACCGTTGGATTAGACCACTAGACGATGAGCGAGATTTAATAATTGAATAATTAAGAAACGAAACTTGTGAAAAATCTGTGAATACATTTAAGTGGAAGAAGGCGTAAGGATGACAGCTAAAGAAGTCTAATAACCAGAATATTAAGACTTACAATGAGAGTGCAAAGCAGAACAAAAAATTTTTAAAAGTTTGAAAGCATGCGTAATATTTATAAGAGTATTAATTTTGATTTTCAGTTTTAAAAGAAGTTATGTAAACGTATCTAAAGATAAATTTAATGTTAGAGTTAATTTGCAAAAACCTTTATGCCATTATATAATTTTAATTGTTTCGAAATAAGTATTAAATACGTACTACAACAAATTTTATAAATCACTTTATAGTTTTCAATTATCATAAAAAATTAAGTATGCACTTAAAAGTTCAATAAGTATTATAATCTTTGTACGTAAATCAGTCCCGTTTTAACATCAAGGGTTTTAAACGTTGTAATTTATAAACAATTTATGAAAGACCCTCAGTTCGCAAGAATTTGTGGTGTTGAAACCTTATGTACCTAGTAACAAAATTTTCAATTAAACAGGAAATGATCAGTAAGCAACTAAAAATATTTTTGTTGAAATATCCGTAAGGAATATAGCTAACTGATTTCTAAACCCAGAATGCTGATTTTTTTACATTAATCGTTCAATTCCTTACTCAAATCTTTTAGATTGTGCTAATGGAAGCACCAAATCATCAAAGTCAGTTAGTTCGCTTTCGTTTGTAAACAATGATTATATTATATATAATTATATATATATACATACGTATATAATGGCATCTATTAAAATTAATTTTGGCATGCTTCTAAACTGAAGAGTGGCACTTTTCAAAATTAATGCGAAATAGGTGTAGGTTTGCTACTCTTACTTAATGGATAGATTAAAATTCTGGCAAGGTTAATTTGCAACAATGTAGATGATTAAAAACACGGATGATGTTTAGATGGTATTTTATACATATTTATTATAGTAATTTAACAAGATAATTAAGGAAGCGAAAGTAATTAAAGTTTTTAATTGACCTAAAAATATACCCACAACTGAAAAATGAACATAGGATTATTTTTTCTCTTTGATTAAACTTCAGATCGCAATTTCCAACTCGTTCCCTCTTTCTAAAAGTTTTATTTAAGTTTGGAAAAATCATTTGAGGAATAAAATGAAAAAGTTGAATTATTTATTTATAAAACATTAATTGCTTATTTGATTCACGTTGTTTTTTAAACGCGGTTATTTATATAAATATTCCGCATTAAAAGTAGAAAGGTACCTTTTTCAAGTATCTCTACAACCCATTCTTTTTCCGCCTGAGGAATCTCCTCGAACTCTTTGATTTGATCGGGACTGTATATTTCGAGCTCCTCGTGGATGGTAGCCAGTCGGGTGCTGGCGTGGTGCGAATAATAGTGAAGACGCAACATGCCCTATCACTATCATCGCACCACCCGTTTTCCACCACTTTTATTCTATCTAAATTAAGCACTTTTTTCAAATTTCTCCGTACACTGTTCATTACCCTCGCCAAAAGTCAACGAACTACTTCAAGAAAACGTTCCTTGTAGTACATGCTTTTCTTTCGTATTTTTGAAAAAGCTAATGAAGTAATTACTTTCAAATTATACCGAGGTAATTTTAATCAGGCTCTCACCAATGATGAAGTTCTCACTTTTTATGAATTTCTGATATGCACTATTCGACGTTCTATTAGATAAAGAGCGGTGCACTTACTTAACTCTTGAAAAACCCACAGTACTGCAGATTTATTATGCAAACATTACGTGTATAATAAAATAAAACAACAAAGCCCAAACGGTTGATAAATATTATGTAAATTTAACGAAAAAGCGAACTATATAAGGGTAAATTAAAAAGCAAAAATCGCGATCGAAATAAATAAATTATCTATTACAAAAGACGAATGAAAAATCAGCTAATTTTCTTTCCTACGACAAGGAAAAACGCCACCACTTGTGTATGTGTAATCAAAAAGTCTGCTTGACAAAACAATATTACTTAAAACGCCCTGTATAGTTACTTTGCCAATTGACCTTATCCTACATTGCTGAATTTCCCGTTTAAAATCAAATACAGTAGGCAATACATTTAATTTTAGCTCTCAGCAATGTAAGCATCTCGCCAGCTGACCCATTAAAATTTGATCAAAACAGCACTGCTTCTTTTTTTTTTTCTTTAAAACGATCACCGGTAAGTAAAACCAGATTGTTTACAAAATTGTGTCACTTGCTATGTACTATGTGTTAAACGCCGACATGCCTGTTTTTAAAACTTTTGGCCACACACAGGCCCATATGTCAACAACTTATTAGTATAAATTGTACAAATGAAAGGTAAATAAACGCACTGTTCCGAAACAACATAAACAATAGAGTTCACCGGTCACCGAAACAACGTGTCACCTCGTCTCCCAATTGTCATCGTATCACAAAACATAATAACAAAAAACCGAAGTGATCGGACACCGATATACACCATAGTTTACTGAAACAATTGTTTTGTTTTCGTTAATAACTTCACCGATTCAATTGTTGACCGCCACGACCAAAGCAACAGTTGTTAATTTGTTGTTTTACTTTAAAATCATTGTTGCGCAGAATACTTCGTTGTTTCGGTTGCGTCCGATCAATAGGTTTAAGACGGAATGATGGTGGTTGGATGTTTCGTAAGCTGTAGCGACGCTCGGGAGCTAAAATTGGCCCGCAACAACAAACGCTAGATGATGATAGTTGATGCGGTACGACGACGCCAAATTGAAGCATTTTGGCAGACGCCGCTTGTATTGCTCTCTCGGCTATATGAACGATGTTGGTTGGGTGGTACTTAATAATGTACTAAATATTCGAAATTCAAACAGAATAACAACTAGTTATTTTTTTTACCTACTATACTTTTATTTTACGGAAAATTACCTTCTAAATAATAAATGGAACACTTTACTTAATTTTCCAGATTGTCTGTAGAGTCCAGGCGATGGGAAAAAACGCTCTTAACCTACCTAGTGAAAACTAGCAATTAAGATTGTATAGGGATAGGTCGTTTGTCCGAATTTTATTATTTATTGGTTACTATACTAAACCGTTTGTTATTTCGATGTAGTCTTGTAGTGATCAGGTTTTGATTAACAATAATTTATTAGTACGATTTTGTCACATTGCAGACTTTTAATGTTTACAAACATATGCTCGTTCCAACAGTTTCAACTCAACCCTTCCGTTGAAAATCCGCTATCCAAGAATTATAATTTCATTGGTCTAGTGTTTAAAAGAATTTTTTAACGGGATTTAATATGGTTTGGAGCATTGGTTTAATGGAAAACCCGCCAGAACGAGAACATGAACCATTAACCGTAATGGTTTTTCCGGGTACCCGGCAAAATCGCTGTTCAGTGCATCTCCATTTTGTACAAATTTCCCTATACCACATCGTATTTTTCAAAAGATTGTGCTGTCCTTTGATGACTGCATGTATAAATTAATATGCCTATGTTCGGTTCTGAACTGGCTATTAGTCTATGCAATCAGTTCCTATTGACTATTCGCCTGTAACTGGCATTCGTTTTTGTAGAATAGAAAGCAAACCTCGAAAGGTTAATTATTTTAGTTTATCATTGTTAATTGCCAGTTCATTTCGCTTGGAACAAAATGAAAATTAAAAAATAATTTGGGAAACAACCCCAAGCTTGCGGCTAAGAGAAGTGTAACTTTAATTTAAAGATAACAATAAAAACACCACTTCATCATTCAAAATCCTTGCGAAGCTTTACGAAAGATCTAGCAGCAGCACGGGTAATAAATACAGTAGAATTCGTTTATTATGACTCCGCCTATATAGACCAACCGCTTAATATGAAGTAATTGCAGTATTAAGTTTGGTTTTCATATTAAATTCTCTGTAGGAAGGTTTGGATATAATGACTCCGTTTAAAATGACATCGTTTATTATGACTGATTTTCAAGAAATCATATCCGGCTATAGTGACCCAAATGATTAATAATAACATTTTCGCTCATTTTTCTGACCCTTCTTATTGTATTTTGATATTACAATTCATTGTTCTTTTTCTTTTTCTGTTAATAAATACAATTTGTAGTTTTTCTATCTATTAAACTAAATAACTAACCAAAATAGAAAGTTGTTTATTTTCTAAGACTATGCTTTGCATGATGCCCGTTTAGTATGACGTGTTTGTTATTTCCCTTCGATGCCATTATAAGCGGATTCTACTGTACATTAGTAATTGTGTTATTACAAGTAGTAATGCTACTACAATTATAACATTAGATAATTGATGATATGGTAAAACAAAGTAAAAGCAATTAAAGGAATAAAAATAAAATAAAATACTGAATAAGCTTACCTAAATCAGAGATGTTTACTTTTTCCAGGAATGGATCTACAACTGGAAGCTGAAACAAAAGTGAATATTAATAAATAAGTAGGTACATAACAAAAATTTTTAAGCCATTACAATATAATAAAGTCTGTCATTTATACGTAAAATTATTCTCAAGTGTAAATACGTCGATTACCTAATTATATTTTTACCTGTGTGAAGTAAGTTATTTAAATTACATTTCCTTTTTATTTTGTTGACTGAGACTTCACCACCTTTCAAATATACAAATCAATTAATACCCCTTCCCCTCAGAATAATTATATACATAAAATTACTCATACGATTAGAAAATCCTTGTTCGAAATCAATTCATAGGTCCGTACGAAATTTTGAGTGATATTCAACCACTGTTTTTTTAATGTATGAGATGGGATATTAAGGGATAAATATAGCCTATGAGCTATACACAGGATACCAAAAATTTGGCTGTTGTGGAGTTAACTTTTGTTATAACGTGAATACAACAAACGTTGGTCAATATAAATATGTATAAAGAAAAACGTCAAAATAAGGCTTGTCAAATACAATAAGACCACAAAAAAAATACAAATTACTAATATTCGGATTTTATCCTTGATTTGTGTCGTGTAACCTTAAATTGTGCCAAATTTCAAGATCCTAGGTCAACGAGAAGTACCCATTTAGATTTTAATGTGTCAAGTAGTGTATGGGTTAACATACTGATAACAAAGCATACAGCTGAGCATGAGATTCCAACGACATCATGAATATGGATATATTTTACGATAATACATGTTCTAAAAGCAGGCAGACTGTCCACCTGAAACAAGGGGTAGAGAGAAAGAGAGGACGAAGTTTCGCTACATTTTTATTAAATTATATTGAAAAAAAATTGACGAAAAGGACGAACATGACAATTAAATGTACCGAGATCTACACTACAAATTTTGAAGCACTTTCCCGATGACGTAATTTAAAAGCAATTTCACTATTATCCGAACGTGTTATTACCAGAAAATTTGTGCGTATTCCGATGACGTTGAAATCCATTGCTCAGTTCCCCAATGACGTTTTTGAAATTGATTGAATTGATTAGGCTGCAGTGTTTGGTATTAAATTAAATACCAAGTTGTGATCATTTCCACAATAGTTCAAAACCCTAAACTGATGGAAACTTGCACACCTGTGTTAATAAATAGATTTACCGAAAAAGCTCTTCGGAAAAGCTGCTTAGGTGATAAATTTTTCTTCTTGACGTTCCTTGCAAACCTCGAATACCAATAAACGAAGCCGCCACCTTGAACGGTCGGTGGCGTAATGGGAGGTGACGGTGACGCGGAAGGTGACGTCGTAGGTGAATTGGATTTGGACGGCCAGGACGACACCGTGCCGTCCGAGGACGAAAGCCTTCGCCAATGCTTTCCCACACTCAAAGACATATCGAAAAGATCGCGGACACGCACTTTTCAAAATCACGTCAAAAACTAAAATCGGCTCGTTTTTTTTTTACACTAATTAATCACATTTCGATTTTCAATATATTGTTTATTATAGGCATACAATTTTACCTGTTAACTCATCTCACCATTTGCTTTTTCCCTACCTAAAACTATAATAATTGTTAAGAAAAGTAGGCGTATGCCAGCACGAACTTGCCGGTGCTTTAACACACTTAAATCTACATTATAAGTCAATCTTAAGTAACCATGGAATGATTAATAAGCTACGAAAACATCCAATCACAGACAGTTACAGAGTTGTTAACGTTACGTATGTATGCATTTTTATAACGTTTATGAAATAAATAAAGTCGAGTATAAAAAGTTTTTTTTTTCCTTTCGTTCAAACACATGTAGCACACTCTCCTGTCCCAGAAACGTTAAACAAACGCATCAGATACAGTACAACACATTTTGGTGAAGTCACCGATATACGTATATATATGCAGTTGAGGTGGTGTCTGCCGTCGTATAACAAGAACACAATAACAACAAACAATAGCAACAACACAACATCTGGAATCCATTCGTTATTCCAGCCGCCAACGTAATGTTTTATTAGTAGTAAATTCCATCTTACTTATTGCTATTCGTTACTAACGAGATACTGTTTCTGTGTGTGTGTGTGTGTGTATCAAGCATCACAAACGGCATTGTCGAAGGCGGCCTTGACAATCAAAACACCAGTCATTCCGATCTGGTCTTAATTCAAATTTGATACTCTTGCAGTCAAGACAGCTGATATATAGTTGCTTCTAAAATAAATGCGCACAGACTTCGTTCATATTTTTTGTACAGAGGATGTATTGTAATTGCTGGAGAACGTTGAATGTTCGTAAATGATAAACATGATGGAGCCTAAACGTTTGATTATTTTATTTTCGAAAACGTTAAATTTTAATTGGACTCATTAATTTTTTAAATAAGTAACCGAAAACGTTAAACACGGCTGGTTAGTAATTTTGTAATAAACCTCGTAGTTTCTGCACGCTAATTAACATATCATACGACGACTGGCAACAAACGCTGAATTAAACATTAGATGACATCATTATTAGTAAAACTCGCAGGACAATGTTTATCTCTATGTACAGCCTTACGTCATGCAAAAAGTTTTTCTTTTCTTAAAAAACACCGGCAATTTCGAATAATTGAAAACATGGATTAATAGATACCCAAATCGATCTAACATTTGCTTTTAATTAGTTGACCTTATGCGGCCTATGGTTGTTTTTTTATTATTATTCGAATTCAATATGACTCGCGAGAATATCTACCAGTTGGAAAATGAACTCAAATATGCGGAATCTGAAGTAATATAGGGTGGTTTATAGGGAGTACGATAAGCGACAAGATGCTGATTCTAGAAGACAAAAGAATACATAATTTCTTGCAATAACTCCAATTTGCAACGATGTACCTGAGTGATAGGAACCTTTAATTATAATGTTAATAATTTTTAGTAAACGTTCACCGGCTAGTGCTAGTGTATAAATATGTCTACTAAATTAATTAAGGAAGGAATGATTAACACTATCGATCACTTAGATCACTGATATTATACTAATCGTAGCACGCTTTTAATTCTGGAATTTGAATTATCCCCTCTACCTACATCTTTTTACACTAATTTATTTAAGATTTAGAAAGCGATTACGAACAAACCCGCAGGATTTTGCATCCTTGTATTATCGCCAAGCGTATCAAGCAGATAACTTTGTACTAATTATCCATTTGAGATCATGGATATTCTTTCGACGTTTTAGCAGACAGCTAATTCCAGAAGTGGTTTAAATTTGAATTTAATGTGTGATTACTGAAGGATGAATCAATAACACCACTCTATACCAAAATTCCAAAATTAAAGAAATTCGAGGCATATTTGACAATTTTAGGAATTTTTCTCGATACCTTCCCTTTTACTAAATTTCTTTATTCTAGAGCAATAGGGAAATATACCCTAGGTAGATTATGGATGACAATGAACTGAATAACAGAAATTGTGTACCACTGATCGAGCTTGAAATATAATTTGATAAAAACAAAACAAGAAATTACGAATACGTAAGTATATTAATATATATTAAACGACATTTTTCAAAGCAACACCAGCAAATAAATTCTAATCGAGCATATAACAGAATTTAAAAAATGAAAAACACCTGCTTCAGAGCCAAAGGTCAATCACATTTTATGTTAATTTAAAAGAATATGCATGCGGAAATAAAAGGGTTAGAAGCGTTCGAAATGTGGTGTTACAAGCGAATGATGAGAATACCGTGGATAGAGGAGGTTAAAAATGAAGAGGCATTAGAAATAATAGGAGAATGGAAGACTTAATAGAAGTAAATAAGAAATAGGCGAGATAGGCTGGTAGGACACCTTCTCAAGCATGAATGTTTAGTCAGAGACTTATTAGAGGCAGAAACGGGAGTTAGGAAAGGTAGAGGTAGACCTAAATCAGATTGCTAAATATTTTTTTATTAATTTATTTGAATAGTTTATACTTCCAAAACGTTTTTGGCGGTCCAGTTTTTGATCTTTCGCGGTCCGGACCTGGACTACGGTTCACCAGTTGTCAACCGTTGGATTAGACCACTAGACGATGAGCGAGATTTAATAATTGAATAATTAAGAAACGAAACTTGTGAAAAATCTGTGAATACATTTAAGTGGAAGAAGGCGTAAGGATGACAGCTAAAGAAGTCTAATAACCAGAATATTAAGACTTACAATGAGAGTGCAAAGCAGAACAAAAAATTTTTAAAAGTTTGAAAGCATGCGTAATATTTATAAGAGTATTAATTTTGATTTTCAGTTTTAAAAGAAGTTATGTAAACGTATCTAAAGATAAATTTAATGTTAGAGTTAATTTGCAAAAACCTTTATGCCATTATATAATTTTAATTGTTTCGAAATAAGTATTAAATACGTACTACAACAAATTTTATAAATCACTTTATAGTTTTCAATTATCATAAAAAATTAAGTATGCACCGAAATGTGGTGTTATAGGCGGACGATGAGGATAACGTGGGTAGAGAAGGATAGAAATGAAGAGCTATTATAAAGAATAGGAAAACAGATGACTTTATGGAAGTTAATAGGAAGTAGGAAATAGTCGAGATAGGTTGATAGGNGGCTACAAAAGATGTTCTTATAATCGAAAACAGGTGAACAGGAACATACTTAACAAGAAGCCTATCAAGTTAAATCGATAATAAAAAAAATCGTATAACATTAACATAACATGTAATCTTGAGAGGACGAAGTTTTGGTAGGATTTTGCATTTAATAAAAAAATTTTAACTTCGTATTTTGCTTTGATTTATCCACATCCCTATAGCAGCCGGTAAGAAAAAATTAAAATTAAAATTGATGTTTTTATAATCTTCAGTTGTTTAACGACACTCCTTACAGATTAATTCTCTTCAGTTTTTGACAAATTACTTAAAAAGTTTAATTACAACTTCAATGTCCGTCCACTGTGTATGGAGTTTTTTTTTTAAATTAGGAAAGTTGCTTTTAATCAAAGTTTTGAATTCCCTTA